GAGGAACAGCAACCCGGCCCCCGGCTCAAAAAGGTTGCCTACCACTGTCATAGAGCATGGTTTCCAGACCCTTCACTATTTTAGTTGCCCTCCTCTGGACACGCTCCAGTTTTTCAACATCCTACATAGGTTTCTATAGCAGAGCGGGAAACTGAACCCTGATCTCCAGGGTTGTAATCTAATGTTCATACCACTACACCATGCTGACTCAAAGCACTTATACACTATATAAATATATGGTTTTACCTTTAAAAGGCAAAGACAATAATGAATGGATAAATGGGAAGAAAATGCTGTTCAGGGATGCTGATGGACCCTATAGTCATTCTTCAATAGGCAGGTAGTTGCTATGGCTAGAAATGCTTAGGACCAAACGTGGCTAATATCAGTGGTTGGCATCACCCAGTGTAGTAACTCATGGTGTCACCATCACCCCATTGACCTCCTCCCATACCACACCCTACAGAATCCTTAGCAATGTTTTTGTACTAATGTTACTCTTAAATCATAATTCACTGAATGCAATGCTAATAGTTGTAATAGTAATAGTAAACAACTAACAACATTAAAAATTTGACCTTTAAATCACAATATCATACACACAGCCCAAATCTATTTACATGTTCATAGTTTCTTTGCTTATAACATAAATAATACCCCAATAAGGTCACTTGCTAGATACATAAGGCTTGTTTCATTTGTTTGAGAAAGAAACAAGAATCTGTGCAGAACCTTCTCCTGGTGAAGTTAACATAGCTGTTTCAGTTAATGATTCCAGAAAAATGCTCAGGCAATATTGTTATTAGGACCAGTCAAAGTTGTGGGCAAGTGTATGAGATCTTAGCATTGATTTGTTAGGCATAGTGTTATCAATTGGGTAAAGTGAAAATCTGGTAAGATGTAATGTTTTTAAAGAAAATTTTAAAAAGAATTTTGAAATGTATTTAAAACAACAACAACAACAACAAACAAACCCTGGGGCCTCTTGTTTCTCCCCCCACTGAGATGTGCCCCACTCACACCATCTTTTCAGCATTTTACAAAGATGTAGGCAAATGCCACAGCCTATTTCTGCCAAAAGGTAGATGTTTGAGGAGCAGTGGTGTCACTCCCCTTAAGGTACAGCCTGCACCTCCTAGTGACACCCATCTAGTGACACCCCTAGCTAATATGGCAGTGCTGCCCATTGGCGAAGAAAGTAGAGCAAGGCACACTCACACATGCCTCTCTCATATCCAGATTAGACTAGCAAAATACACTCTAAGGTGAGGCTGCCTTTGAAAGATTTTCAGAACCTGCAACTACAATAATGCTGGAATAAGTTCTAGTGTGCACACTTCTAAACATCTTACATTGATTTTGTTTAAAATGCACACTGATTTCAAGTTTGCTTCCATGACTAAATTAAGTTACTGGTTTCACCTCTTACATCAGGGGTAGGCAACCTAAGGCCCGGGGGCTGGATGCGGCCCCCCGAGGCCTTTGTACCGGTCCCAGGCTGATCCTGCCGCCGCCGCCACCGCCTGCCATGATGATATTGATTATTGTTGTTATTACTTGTTCTTGGGGTTTTCTTGGCAAAATCTCCACAGGGGTTTTGCCATGGCTTTTCTGGGGCTGAGAGAGTGTGCATGCATATATTTTTATTTTTATTTTAATTTTTTAAAATATTTTTATTTATTTATGGTGCTTCGGACCCCCCAATTGTCTGAGGGACAGCAACCCGGCCCCCGGTTCAAAAAGGTTGCCTACCCCTGTCTTACATTGTAATGGTCTGTGATCAAGATATTAAAGGAACACCTCCACACAGATGAATCTGTCCATCAACTGCAGTTATCTTCAAAATCCATGCTCTTTTTCACTTCAGAGAGACATGAGATTAATAGGAACACAGGGCCATGTATTTAGTGGAAGCACCCCAATTTTGAAACTTCTTCCCAAACATTAAATTGGCTCCTTTTCTGTGATCTTTTACATAGGTGGTTAAGGTTTAAAAACAAAATCCTCCAGACTGTTCACTGTTTTAATCTTACTGTCTATGGTTTAAACCGATTATGGCTTTAATTCTCTATTCTTTAAAAAAGAGAATTGAGATTTAACTGTTGTAAATTTCCTTAGCTAGCCTTCTCAGGTGTGAGAATCAGTAGAAATTGTTGAAAGAAAAATTGAAAATGCACTTTTTACATTCAGTATTGAAGGCTTTGACTAAAAATACTGAACTCTTGATAATGATTCTAAGAGCAAATCTAATTTGAATTTCTTAAATTAAACATCTGAAAGGTGATTGACATTGTTCTATCTCAGAAAAAGGACTGGAACTTTCTATGTGAAGTTGTCGCCACTGTCTCATTGGATGCTGCAAAAATGGAAAATGTATTCAAAATTATCCACCAGTTCTATTATACTTTGACTGGGAATGATCAAGCTGTAGTCCAATACATTTCAGAGGTACTAGATTGAGGAAAGTAACTCATGGTGCTGAAAGTGAAGTAAAGTACATTTTATGCATGTTTGAGAGACGTGCAACTCGACAATTACAGTGATTCATTTAGTGGTTTCATTGTTTTTAATTTGTTTTTAATCACGGTTGTTAGTGCCTTGAGTGTTATTTCTTTAGTGGAAAATCAAGATTGAAATGTAATAATTAAAATAAAATAGATGAGTATCAATTATGACTAAATTGTGAGCAATTATGCACTGTCAGACTGGAAGAACGACTACATCAAAGTAAGCATTTCTGAACAACTGGTATTTATTCATTTGTTACTGGAATAAGAGGTATTATGCAGGAAAGTGTAAAAATTCACATTTTATATTTGTTATACAGACTGAGTATTCCTTACCCAGAATTCTGAAACCAAAATTGTCCACATGGGTGGCTAAGTTAGTGGCACCTTTGCTTTCTGATGGTTTAATGTACCCAAACTTTGTTTCATGCATAAATTATTTAAAATATTATGCATGAAATTACCTTCAAGCTATGTTTATAAGGTATATATGAAACATAAATGAATTTCATGTTAGTCTTTGGTCCCATCATCAAGATCTCTCATTATGTATATGCAAATATTCCAAAATACCCCCAAAATCCAAAATCCAAAACACTTCTGGTCACAAGCATTTCAGATAAGCTAGACTTAACTTGAATGTACTATAAGGATAATTTTGAGAAGTCTTCCACACTTCTTCCTTCTCCCACCTCCATCCCCCAAATCTGATAATCTTTAATGATTATTCAAGTTGTGGGCTTTTGTCTATTGGTAATATATTTCTCTTTGTATTTTTATGGATGATTTTTTGTATATAGGCTGCTTTATCATTTATGGTTAGTGTTGCACAAACATGCACACATGTCCGTAGGGCTTTGAAGACTTCAGTGTGAAATACAAGCTTCTTTAAAGTAATGGGATCACTGTGTTTTGTCTCCATTGGTTATGAATACACCAAAAATAGTCTCCAGCACAGAACTCTCTCCCTATGGAAGCTAAAATGGCTCCATCCTTGCCATCTATATGTAAGCAGGTAAAGAAGTTTTTCCCCCATACCAACAGGTTTTTAGAACTGAAGGTTTTAAGGAAAGGGCTTTTGAGAGGGTGGTGCATTGCTTTAAATTGTACTGCTCTTTATTCCTTTGTAAATGCATGTTTCAAATTATTTTACTATTGTTAATAGTTTAATGCTATTTTGATGCTGACCTTCTGTATATATTTAACAAGATTGTGTTCATTTTAATTTGTAAGCCCCCTTGAGTCCCCATTTTGGGGAAAGTGAAGTATAAATAAAAATGAATAATAACAGTCCAAATCCAAGTGCTAGTCCCAACCTGATTAGACTTGCTGAATGAGTTGCTGCATGGTAAGTCACTACTCATGCAAACCCCACTGATTCCATGGGTCTACAGTAGGTGCATTCAAGAATCCTACTCTATCTGGGCCCATGTATGTTCCCAGTGGTGGATACTGGTGATCTCATGTTTTGCCCCCCAAATGGCTATTTTTTTTTTTTTGGGTTACCTAGACCACAAAAAGGCTGAGATGACTTTCCCCCACCAATCTAGGGCCATTCCCAATTCCAACAATCAAAAACAGGGAAGTGAAATCAGCCATGGGCAAACTAGGTAGATTTCAAATTGCAACTGAGAAACAGCTGCATGCTTACTACACTGACATATATTACATTGGTGAGACAGGTTAATTAAGAGACAGTGCCTGTGGGCTTTCTACTTGCCAACCCGCCTTCATGTTGTTGTGTGCCTTCAAGTTGTTTCCAACTTATGGCAGCCCTAAAGGGAACCTATCACAGTGTTTTCTTGGCAAGATTTGTTCAGGGAGGAGTTGCTTTTGCCTTCATCTGAGGCTGAGAGCATGCGACTTGCCCAGAGTCACCCAGTGGGTTTCATGGCCAAGCTAGGAATCGAACCCTGGTCTCCAGAGTTGTAGTCCAGCACTTAAGCCACTATGCCACACTGGCTCTGTCTGCCTGCCTATTATTGGTCTGAGATTTCAAAGGAAGGCGGATGGAAGCTCTTCAGAGAAGCTGAGGAGCTCTTACTCTTGTCCAGCCAAAAGCACACATTCCTTTCCAGCACAGAGGAAAACCATAAAAATTGTATTTGGAGCCAAAGCCAGCAAAGTGTTCCTATGACATCACCTCCAACTAACTTCCCAAATTCTTTCTTAAAAAAAGAAAAAGAAAATTAAGAAGATGAAAACATATTTGTGCTAATTCACCCAGCGGTTTTAAAACACGAAATACAGAAACACTGACAGCTGAGCCTAGTGGAATAAAGAGAGCCCTGTCCTACAGCTGAAAGGCTGCCTGTGTGCTCTCTGTATCTGTCTTCCCGCTTCCTCGCTTTATTCCCAGGCCATCCACAGACTTTTGCAGACTGCCAGAAATAGTGCACATTAAATTGAGGCACTGCCCTGGCTCATTGCTAGGGAGTCATGGGAATTGTATTTTTTTCTGAGACATTGAGCCTTCTCTGTCAGAGAGCTCTGGTGCCACAATAAATTACAGTTCCCATGATTCCCTAGCACTGAGCCAGGGCAGTGCCTCAATTTAATGTGCACTATTTCTGGCAGGCTGCAAAGGCCCCACATCTGTTTAAATAACTGAGACATTGTCTGACTTTAACCACTAGATGTCATCAGTATCCAGTGCTATACACTGATTCAGGCCTTTAAAAAAAATGAGCCAGTACAGGACTGAAGATCATTTAGATTGCATCTGCACTGCAGAAATAATGCAGTTTGACCCCACTTTAACTGCCATGGTTCAATGCTATAGAATTCTAGAATTTGTAGTTCTATGAGCTGTTAGCCTTCTCTGTCAGAGAGCTCTGGTTCCACAACAACCTACAAATCCCAGAAGTCCCTAACACTGAGCTACGATGCTCAAAGTCAGTCAAGCTGCATTATTTATGTAGTGCGGATGTAGCAGCTTCTGACAACACCTGTCTATCTGCCATGATGACATCACAGAAAATAAAAGTTAAAAAGTTGCACCAAGGATGGGGAATGTGTAGCCCAGATGTTGCTGAGCTTCTACTCCAAGCATCCCTCACCATCAGCCAAACTGGATGGGGATGATGGGAGGTGCATTCGACACCTGAAGGACCTCCCTTCTCCCAAACTTGAGTTATGCAAGTCTTGTGCATTGGATTGCATGTTAGCAGGGCTCGGAAATGATGTGCTATAGGTAGCCATACTCATTGGCAGACAAAAGCTTCCATGTTAGTAAGATGGTAACTCCCACTCCAGGATCTAGACCAAACTTTAAGGCAGGAGTGGGCAACTTCAGAGAAGGCTGGGGCCAATTTTCACCCCACAACCCCTTGGCCAGCCATATTTGTGCAACGAAGCCCAAATCTTGTTTTTTTTTCCCCTGGGTGATTTTCTTCTCCTTCCCCCAGCTCAAAATCACTGCAATATGCAGCAGTTTTGCTCCCCCAACTTCCTCACATACCTCAACTTCCAATGCCCCCCCCCCATGTGCAGGGGGAAGCAAAAATCAATCAAAATTGAAACAAGAGTGACCAATGTCACTTTTGGTTTAAATATGGAATGATTTTTTTGCTGGTGGCAGATCTAGAAGATTCTTAAGGAACTGGGGACTTTGTGGGGTGAAACTGAGGCACTTGGCAGTGGTTTGGGGACATTTAGGCAGAGGAAGAAAAACTACCTGGATTTTTTTAAAGGGGGCTACATATTACCCGCTCCTGCTTTATAGCCACTGTCCAAGGTGCTTAATCCTACCTCCTCCCTTTTTTTAATGCCTTAGATAGCGCCTTTAAAGTTCAGACTACAACCTAGAATGAATTCACCAGCCCACTAATACTGAAGCTGCCTGACCATGTTATTTATAAGGTATTACTCTTTTTTTAACAATAAAAAGGTGTGATGATATCCTTTTGAAGTTTAATATTAACATCAATTTTTCATGGGTGTTGTATGCTTTCAAGTTATTTCCAACTTATGGCGACCCTAAGTAGAGTTTATAGCAGCACAGCTTGGAGGGTTGCCAGTGCTTTCCTCCAAGGCTGAGACAGTGTGTTTTGCCCAAGGTCACCCAGTGGGTTTCCATGGCCAAGCAGGGATTGAAACCCTGGTTTCTCAGTGTCCTAGTCCAACATTCAAACCACTCCACTACACTTGCTCTCTCACATTTTGCATAATATGTCATCATTTCAAAAATAATGAGCATTTGGGCTCACCTTTGGACATTTTTCTATTCTGTGTGTGTATATATATATATATATATATATATATAACACATTAGTAATGAACACATCACTCAATAAATTGCAACTAACTTAGCATGGTATATGTTTTTAAAATGATAAAAACACTAATGGTTAGCTATTTTCCCCAGACTAATGCTTCCATGTGCTTGTTATACTTCTTATTGATCTAGTGGAATGTAAATTTCGAGTAGGCAAACGTAAATTTCTGGCTGTGATCTTGTTTCAGTTTTTTTTAACTATTCCTAAATATGGTCAATTTTTATCTCTAAAGGTCTCAGGCTTATAACTGAGTATCTTATCTTATCTTAATAGATAGTATCTTAACTTACACACTGTGTTGTTATATGCAGAAGTTAAGGGATATGAGGGAATGGGGGTAAATAATATGGTGAAATAGCTCTATGGGGGAATAAAGAGAAATCGAAAAGGGAGAGGGCGGTTATCCAAATGGAATGCAAGTAGGGACCAGATAGGCAATGGCCGGAGAGGGTGGCACTTTATGGCTTTGTTTACTTCCTAAGGAAAGACTTTGATGCCCAGCAAGACAACACCTTCTTTCCTTTGAAAGATAGATTGATATGGGAGATGGGGAAGTTGGAAGAAAAGTGCCAAGTTTAAAGAGAACTTTGCGGTTGAAAGTGCATTGATCCTCACAAAGGGGTTCCCCTGAAGACCCTAGCATGTGACCGTGGTTGTGTTTAACTCCTCAGCCCAAGTTTCAAAAATACTTCAGTAGAGAAAGATCTGGATTCCCATTCTTGATACAATTTTAAATTTACTTTACGGCAGTCACTGTCAGAGGTCTATCTTACAAGGTTATTAACAGCAACCCCTTGTGCATAAACAAAAGGTGGAAAGATTGTACCTTTGAATTATGTACTGATTTGGAACCAATAAACATTTGTGAAGTGTATATTTCAAAGGAGGGCAATGGCAAACCACCTCTGAGTATTCCTTACCTAAGAAAACTCTATGAAATTCAAGTAATCACCATAAGTAGACAGGTGATTTGAAGGCACAGACAATTCTTTGTTGTGCCTTGTGGGTAAAGCCATAGAGACAGAGGTTGGTAATGTCTCACTCCCTACAAAGGGGTGGAAAACATGACAGCTCTGCATTACAATTCTACATCAGGCTGCTTAAAAAGGACATAGAAGCAGAAGCTTCACCTAGTGCAATATGCAGTAGCAACACTGCTAGTGAAAATGTTTTATAATAACCACATGACACCAGTTCTACAGACATTTCACTGGTTGCAAATATATTTCTGGTGCACATTCAAGGTGCAAGTAATAATATCTGAAACCCTAAAGTACTTGTGACCTTAACACATGAAAGAAAGTCTCTCCTTATATCCTTATCTGAACACAGAGAACTGCTGGAGGGGCTTTCCTCTATGCTTCATGGTGGGAACAACACCTCATGTGGACATTCAGGAGAGGGCATTCTTTGTTATGGCATTATAGTTATGGTTTGTTCTCTGAGGGAAGCAGTTGGTACTGATGTTGCCTTCATTTTGGTGAGACGTTTAAACTTGACCCTTTATTAAAACCCTTTATTAAAGGATTCAGGGCCTCAGGTTGAAAAGGTTCAGTGCACACGTCTTAAACTTGCAAGTCATTTTCCATTGTTTTTAATCTATTAAAATTGTCTTAAATTGTTGTATGGGTTTACATGGCTTTTTTGTTATTTTTGTTGTTGTCTATGCTGCCATCTCTACATGAGATCTTTTGATACAGGGCGAGTTATAAATATTGAATGAAAGAGAGATGGAGGGTTAGACTAATTCTGAAATTAATCTATTTCTCAGGTCATGGATGAGTAATATCTCCTTTGGATGTGGCTATATATGTAGCACGACCCTAGGCATGCCAACTCAGCAGGAGCTCCCTGGAATTTGCTTCATAGAAAAAGCTGTCCAATTATACTTGACATTTAGGGATGGTGGGGGAGAATGTATTTTAAAGTTTTTCCTCTGGGTGAGAAACAGGAAAAACATGTTTTGGTTGTTAGGCATCTGATAAAATCTGTACTCTGGATAGACTATCAGTTCTTCTAAAGGTGCTGGGCATTGCTTAAAATAATCTGTGATCCATTTCCAGAACATATTGGTACTGGGAGTACAAAGCCAATGAGAAGCACCTGGCCACAAACAAGTTACTATAATGTTGCTCAGTGCTCCATGCCCCAAGGCACCACCACCAGAACTTCAGACATCTGAAAACACGCTAAAAATATATTTCACACACAATATAACACACTGTTGAAGATTTGCTTCCTGTGATCCAGGCAGCATTTTAAAGGATTCATCAGTCACTGGTGCATAGGATAAGTGCCATCTGTGAGGATGTGTAGAAGAATTTGATCCCCATTGATTTTAATGCTTAGGTTCCCAGGCACAAATACACCTGTATCCAGAGTGCTTGTTCATATTGGAATCGTGGTTCCTCCCTCTGTATCCAAGCTCAGTGTCAATAAACCTGCCAGTGTGATCAGTAATGCCCTGGAGCAGGATGGAGTTGGAGTCTTTCTGGTTCAGGATTCCTAACCCCTACTCAGGAGATACAAACAAGAATATATGTCCCATCCATGTCACCCACATACTGAAGGAATCTCATGGGCTGGAATCCATCCATGATCTGGGCAGGAAAAGAAAAGCAAAATTGTAATCATCAGAAAACTAATGAAGGTGTGGTGTCAGAAGCATCTGTACCCACCACCCCAC